CGGCTGGAGTGCAGTGGCGATCTCAGCTCACTGCCAAGCTCCGCTCCCGGGTTCCCGCCATTCTCTGCCTCAGCTCCCGAGTAGCTGGGACACAGGCGCCCGCCCACGCTTCGCCGGCTAGTTTTTTTGGTATTTTTTAATAGAGACGGGGTTTCACCGTGTTAGAGCCAGGATGGTCTCGATCTCCTGACCTCGTGATCCGCCCGTCTCGGCCTCCCAAAATGCTGGATTACAGGCTTGAGCCACCGCGCGCCTGGGGGGGCATTTTAAACAGCACAATTCTCAGCATTAAAAACACAAAGAAGGCGGGTTGGTGGGTGGCTCACACCTGTAAATCCAGCACTTTGGGGGCCGAGGCGGGCAGATCACGAGTGTCAGGAGATGGAGACCATTCTGGCTAACATGTGAAACCCCATCTTACTAAAATAATCCAAAAAAAAAAAAAAAATTAGCTGAGCGTGGGGTGGCGGCACCTGTTAGTCCCAGATACTTGGGAGGCGGAGGCAAGAGAATGGCGTGAACCCGGGAGGCATAGCTTGCAGTGATCCCAAGGACTGCGCCCTGCGCTCCAGCTGGGCCACAGGAGCGAGAGTCGTTCTCAAAAAAATTAAAGTGAAGCCGACACACACACACACACACACAGACAAATGTGGAAAATGTGGCACTAAATAGGGCATAGAAGAACATTTGTTGTGCTATTAGAGCTGATATAAGAAGGCAGAGTATCACTTTATTTAGCTTTAGCTGGAAACGTCTGAGACTCATTTTTTTCACTGTTCTGTTCATATCCATGAGTGACTGTGAAAGTACTATGAGTTTAGATTTTGTGGTTACATATAAATTTTAGCAAGTAGGCAACTTCACAAATATAGAATTTGTGAATAATGATGATTGACTGTATATACTCACACTCATGTAGAATGTTTATCTGGAGAGTGACAGCGTATCTTGGGAGCAGTTTGAATAAGAAATCAAGGGACATCTACAATGCAGTATGTTGGGAATTTCAAAAGGTTTATAGGGATAAAAATTGAGCTAAGAGTTCAGAAGGAGGAGAAAGTACAAAACCCTCACATGAAATAGAAAGGAGTGAATAAGAAAAAGAAACATTTTAATTCTATTTTCTGATTTAAAAGCTATAGACAAAGGAAAAATATTTAAAATACATATATTAGAAAAGTACAAACTTAGAAAGTATAAATTATTCAGAAAGCTTGCATAAAATGTAATTTTCAGAATCAGAGGGACAGTGGATTAGATGATATTGATGACTTTTCTCTTAACTGCGAGTCGTGGAATGTGAATATTTAAAGATAATGTTTTAGAGATAGACACTATTTTGACAGACCTTAACATCATTATGCTAAGAAGTTTAAACTACATTGTAAGCTATGTAAAATACTATATCCTAGAGATTACTAAATAGTCATAGAACATGGCATGAGGATGGTGATGGCTTTTGAAAGGCCACTTTATGGGAAATAGGCAAAGCAAATTTAGGGGAGAAACTCTGGGGTTCGATTTCAGGAACTATTGCAAGAGCTCTGGCTCGCAGCTCATAAGATTAGAAATATGGCAGTGGCGGCCGGGCGCGGTGGCTCAAGCCTGTAATCCCAGCACTTTGGGAGGCCGAGATGGGCGGATCATGCAGTCAGGAGATCGAGACCATCCTGGCTAACCCGGTGAAACCCCGTCTGTACTAAAAATACAAAAAACTAGCTGGGCGAGGTGGCAGGCGCCTGTAGTCCCAGCTACTCGGGAGGCTGAGGCAGGAGAATGGCGTGAACCCGGGAGGTGGAGCTTGCAGTGAGCTGAGATCCCGCCACTGCACTCCAGCCTGGGTGACAGAGCGAGACTCCATCTCAAAAAAAAAAAAAAAAAGAAAAAGAAATATGGCAGTGGCATTTGTAGGGATAAAATTAGGAAAATAATGGATATGGGAAGCCCTGCAAAGGAAAAGTTTATAGAGCCAGAGATAGACTACCCATGAGGGCATAAGGCAGGCAAGAATTAAGATACCTACATCATAAGCACAGGAGATGGAAAATTATACCGTTAGAGAAAATTAGCAGAGAAAGATAGCAAGCAAGAGAGAGAGGATTTTTTAATGAGAAAGCAGAGCGAGGAGATGATGAATCTGGAGTTAGAGATGTGGAGTGGTAGATGGTGGGATATGAAGATTGTTTCTCCAGGATAGAGATCTATTGTATCTCATCTCAATAAAAGAGAGTGGGAATTGTGGGAGGCATTAGGGCTCCTGGGAAAAGAATACAGAAACAACAGGGATCATAAGCTGATCATAATCATAAGCTGAATTATGTATACATGTATATGTCTATTAAAAATATTTATCGAGTTCATCCTATGTGTCAAGCAGCATACCAGGCACTGTGCATTCAGTAGTGAATAATACAGACACAGTACATGCCCACATGTGACTCACAGGATGACATTTTCATATTTTTGTAGCCGTCCAGTTATTCAGTAAATTAATTATAATATGCACAATATGCACACACACACACAGAAATATTCTTAAATAAGTAGTTGTTTTAAATGTTTTTTAACAACTGAGTTCTACATATAATAATATATGTTACAGGCATATCGTACTCACGAGCATTTTGTATTTTGCAAGAATACATGCAATATATGCAAGAATACAAGAATAATGTGTTAACTATATTAGTTAACATTAATTTCTAAAACAGAGAAATCTCAAAATCTCAGTAACTTAACACAAAGAAGCTAATTTGTTCTTCACATAAAACCCTCGCTGATGTTTCTGATCTTCAGTTGGGGAATGCCCTCCACGTAGTCATTCAGAGAATAAGATGGATGGTAATTCTGTTGTTCCCCAACCAGATTTCCAGTGTCACCCTACGCATTGATATTCAACAGGCAAATGGCAAAAGAGGGGGAAGAACCAGGGTGAGAGAACATTTTGTATGTATCAGGCCTGGAAGTCATGCATATGAGTTCTGCCTACATTCATTTGTCTAGAACAGCTGCGTGACCACACCTGACTGTAACAGAAAATAGGTTATATGGTTCAGCTGTGTGCCCAGGAGGAGAGGGAAATTGGTTTGATGACATCTAGCTAGTCTCTGCTTAACTCACTAATTTTTAAAAAAATACTGTTATAGCTTTTGTCCTTCCTTTTTGATTCTGCTTCATTTAAAACATGATTCAGACTTCTTGTTTCCTCTATTTTTGTTCCCTAACATCTTTCAAAAAGTCTTGGATAGTCTCACAAATGAGTCCATTTAAATATGCATCGATGGTCTACATGTCTTATGTTAATAAGTAAAAATACCCCAAATCCTGCATGAAAACTTGCCCTGGTACTGTTTGCCTGTTTACTCACATACAGTTGTTCTTTCATATGTTAGAGTACAGGACACTGAAATTTAAGTCATGACTCAGTTCTCTTACCTGTGCGGAATCTGGTAAGATCTGGTCAGCAGGTGATGGGGCTGGTCTCAGCTCAAGGTTGATTGTGCGAGGATATCCAGGATGTGTTGGGCTTTCTATTGCTCATCAGCCTATGCAGTGTACCCTTGTTGGCTGACGTAGGAGGCAGCCCCAGTATCTCAGCCTAGAATTAAAATGTGAGAAGATAAGAGGGCTGGAGATATCCCAGGAAAAGTTTAATTTGATGGTGTTTTCTTTAAGTAAAGGGGGCTTAGAAGTGTTTATGCTGGCCAGGTGTGGCGGCTCATACCTGTAATCGCAACACTTCAGGAGGCTGAGACAGATGGACCACCAGAGGTCAGGAGTTCGAGACCAGCCTGGCCAACATGGTGAAACTCCATCTCTACTAAAAATACAAAAAATTAGCTGGACATGGTGGTGCACAGCAGTAATCCCAGCTACTTGGGAGGCTGAAGCAGGAGAATTGCTTGAACCCGGAAAGCGGAGGTTGCAGTGAGCCAAGATCTTACCACTTTACCCCAACCTGGGTAACAGAGTGAGACTCCGTCTCAAAAAAAAAAAAAAAAAAGAAGTATTTATGCTATGAGTCCTGAAAAAGTTGAATCATAAAGTTAACTCTTTTGAAAATGTTTAAAAATATGTTTTACAGATTAAAGTTACAAAAGGCTCAATGAAATAGTAATGAATGAAGATGTTTAATTTAGGATTTTCTCATGTAACCACAAAGAATGTCTTGAAGTCATTTAAATGGGAATAAAGTTTCATTTTTTCCATGTACTCTAGGTGTAACTGAGAAAGTCAGTTAATCAGCATTCTGAGAATTCAGAATTTCTTGAAGCATGCAAAGGCTTATCTCTTTCTCCTCTTTTTGAAATTACTTTAAACACTGGGGGATATGAATCTGTCAGTAATTAGGAATTAGTCAGAGAAAGGCCTCTTACTCATAATGAACCTCTTTGAAAAGTCTCTGTTTATAAAGTAGAAAACACCCTGGAAAATTGGGATAAAAGTTGCATATTTTAATTTGGTGGAAATTGAAGTTATCTTCAGGTGTCACGGTATAAATAGTTGAGCCAAGAATATAACCTAAAATTCTACTTTAAGTCACATGACCAAATACAAACTAATCTAAGAATTCTGTGGAGTAAAAATTAAAATTAAGGCACAGGAGTGAGGGGTAGATACACTTTAATCCTGTTTCTGCCTTGATCCTCCCTCATTTCTCATTCAGTAAACTTTGTGATGACTGAAGTATGCATAACAGTATGCGAAAGGTCATAGTTACTTGAGCTGTGTTAAAAAGATCCATCTTTTGCACCAGAGATTCCTAATCTTAATGCTTCCTCTACTTTCATATTCAAGATATGAGCTATTTTAGTGACTCTAGAAACTCTAATGCATAAAATAGCTAGTATTTTTAAAGATAGTCAGTATTTATATAGTGCTTATGATGTGCTAGACAATGCTGTATGCATGTTATATATACATTAACTCATTGGTAGCTCAACATCACTGCAAGAAGTGAGCATATCATTACGGTCTCTGTTTTACAGATGAAGCAATTTAAATATAGCTTGTTTAGGTGACTTACCTGAGCACACACAGCTAGTAAGTAGCAGCACTATAGTTGAACCTAAGCGATCTGGCTCTGGTCTACATTCAACCATCCTTACACACTGACCTTAGGAAACTGTCTACGTGTCTACATGTAAGGGTTTCTCTCCTAGGTGCCTGATTTTTTCCCCAACAACCATTAAAAAAAGGTTCACAGCAATCATTCGTTATCAGCATGGATTTTTTACCTAGTACATTTAATCTGAGGGGCATCTTTTAATGTTATCTATGCTTCTGTAAAGGAAGATGCTGAACTGGAGTTTCTTTAAGGGAGTGGTGAGGATCACTTTAGATTCTCTGTGTACCCCTGCAATTACAAATTAGCTAATTGTGACAGACAGCAGCTGATATGAGATATTAAATACAAATACATAGAATTCTAGGAAGATAGCTGTATTAGTGTGTTCTCACTCTGCTAATAAAGACATACTTGAGACTGGGTGATTTATAAAGGAAAGAGGTCTAATTGACTCACAGTTTCACATGACTGGGGAGGCCTCACAATCATAGCGGAAAAGCAAGGGACATATTACGTGGTGCACCGCAGGCAAGAGAGCTTGTGCAAGGGAACTCCCATTTATAAAACCATGAGATCTCGTGAGACTTATTCACTACCACGAGAACAGTATGGGGAAAACCACCCCCATTATTCGGTTGTCTCTACCTGGCCCCACCCTTGACACTTGACACATGGGGATTTTTACAGTTCAGGGTAAGATTGGGGTGGGGACACAGCTGGTTTTGACAGTGCTGTGACAGCAGCTGATATGAGATATTAAATATAATTTAAATATAAAAACAGAATTCTAGGAAGATGGCAGATATGGTGGAAGTTTAGGCTTTGATCCTTTACTCCTATGACCTCTTTAAAAACAGTATTTCAAAAATGAAATTTCCTTCCTTTTAATTTTCTAAGAGTTAAATTATCTACAAGTCTGTTCATAATATTAATAACAAAAGAGAAAAATAGGTTCTATGATAGGCTAGTTACTTGTTGTAGTCAGGAATATTGATTTCCTAGTAAACTTGAAAAAATATTTTAATTATCCCTGGTGAGTAGAATGTTTATACAGAAAAAAAAGATAGTAGAATATATTTGAGTAATTATTGAAAATTGTGGACACCGTTTGTTTAAGTTAAATTGTACAGTTGAGTTGATTTTATTTTCTGTGGATTAATTAGACATTTCTTTTCAGGTACATGACAGATGGAGGACTTAACCTATACACTAGAAGTCTGAACCGAATACCAGACACAGCAAGCTCCCGGGACGTCATCCAGAGAGGGGTTCACGATGTGACAGTGGATGCAGACAGGTAATGCTATCAGCATATATGATGGTGAAGCGTGTATGAAGCAATTTTATAAGAAGAAAATAAGAGAAACTCCTATTAAATAGTGTAAATCAAAGGACTTGTTACTTTGATAAATATTTTATTTTGATAAATAATTCTTTAGGGATTTTTTTTTTTTTTTTTTTTTCTGTGAGACAGAGTCTCCCTCTGTCACCAGGCTGGAGTGCAATGCCGCAATCTCAGCTTGCTGCAACCTCAGCCTCCCGGATTCAAGTGATTCTTCTGCCTCAGTCTCCTGAGTAGCTGGGACTACAGGCACACGCCACCATGCCCAGCTATTTTTTGTATTTTTAGTAGAGGTGGGGTTTTACCATGTTGGTCAGGCTGGTCTCCATCTCTTGACCTTGTGATCCATCCGCCTCGGCCTCCCAAAGTGCTGGGATTGCAGGCGTGATCCACTGCATCTAGCCTATTTTGGGATATTTTTAAAACTAGGATGATTTTCTTTACAAGGTCATTTTAGCTCTGTAATACCGAAAATAAATGTGTGGCTAGGGAGATTTTTTTTTTAATTTCAGGTAACATAGTTGAATATGTTAATATCTGCAAAAGCAAAATTACAAACATATACTTATTTTCCTTATTAGAAAGAAACTCTGGTTAATAAATTTCATTCAGTTCAGATATCCTCAGATTTACCTAGAAGCTAATGATATAAAGATTAAAACATGTTTCAAATCATCTAGCATAATAAGCTTGTTGCTTTTCTTGAAGATGTTGTAAACATAGAAAAACTCTCACTTTAGGTTTATTTTTGCTTCTTTATTGCCTCAAATTTCTTAAAGATGTGTGTGTGTGTGTGTGTGTGATGAACTAATTATTTTGCTGGAAATTGCTCTGCTGATTTATCAGAATCATCACTGTTTAAGAACATTGATTTGGTAAGATGATGTTGTAATATACATTTCTGGCCTGATTTTGCTCCTTCTTCACTCAAAATTTTGACTTTGTTGTACAGGAAGGAATTGCATATTTTCAGAATTATTATATCTAAATACCTAGAGTTGTTGTTTAATTCAGCATTTATGAGAAAGACAAAAGGTTAAGGTGCAACATACTCACATTCTGAAATAGGAACTGTATACAATTCATTGTGCATTTTTGTACAGTCAACTCCAAAAGCTAGATACCCAGGGAATTCTAATATTAGTCTTCAGTTTCTCCTTACCCACAGGCTGTTGATATCCTAACTCATAATGGTTAGAACAGTCTCAGCTCCTACCCTGTCTGTATCCTACTCTCCTAGCCTATATACTCGCGTGTGTGTGTGTATGTGGGTGTGAAGCATGTGTGTGTGTGAAGCATCTCCCCACCTGTAATGTAAGTCCATCCACGAGTGCAGAATTTTTGTCATATTATTTATGTGTTGAGTTTTAACAAATGTTTGTGGAGTTAATTAACAAATTAATGAATATCGGCTATTTATTAATTAGGCTATATAGTCATATAGACTGGCAATCGCATCTAACTAAATAGAGTGGCAAATGAGCTCCGGAAAGAACCAAGGTACTATAAGGATGTTATGAAAGAGAAAAATGGGTTATGTGAAAAATAGACAGTGATAAGAGGGAAAGAATCCCAAAGTTTGGGCCACATTTTGAAACTAATGACCTATTATTCTATTATTGTTAGCTGAAAGTAGAAAACATTGTGGGAGGGAAGATCTGCTAGTTTTTGGTAAAGGAGGTTGTGATGGCAGAACCAAGAAATGAACACAAGGTGACTTTGGTTTGGGGACACTGGGATAATCAACTCTCCTTGCTTTATCAGGGCCCCAGATTGGGCTCTGGTGGAGGAACTCAGAACAACATAAAGACCTAGATAGGTATCTAATAAGTGGGGACCTGTGAAAGCAGTGCCTCTTAAAGTGTGTAACCTGGACCAGCAGCAGCAGCAGCAGCCATTGAAACTTCATAGAAAGGCAGATTGTCAGCTTCATCCAAGACTTACTGAATTAGACTATCTCAAGGTAAGACCTGGTAATCTGAGCTTTAGCCCTCAAGGTGGTTCTTAAGTTCAAGCATCACTATATTAAGTTGAACAAATAGATGCCAGGCCTACAAACACATGAATGCCTAGCATAAATATTTAAACATTAAAAATGACATTTCAGAGTTCTTATTTACCCTATTAGCGGTGTTCTGTCAAGAGAATGAGAATATTGATATGTTAGAATACACTGATGATGCTAATTTTTGAATTAAATCAAATAATGACTTATTATGCCTGAAATAAATTGGTTCAGCTTGGTAGATGCAGTTTTTGAAGATTATATAAATGGTTTTTAAAAGAATAATTTTAACTTGAGCTGCTTGTATAAATTAAATTGCAATAAGGTCATAGTATAAATCCTCCTATTAGCAGAGATAGAAGGTTTTTAAAAAAATTACAGATAAGTCTGAAGGTCTTTTAAAATCTTATATTAGGGAAGTAACTTGGGATGTATATCATTTTAAAATACATGGACTTAAATGTTGTAGTTGTATGACTCAGTTAATTTAAAATACTTTCTTCTATGAAAAATTGTTTCAAAACATTTTCTAAATTCTTGTACTCATTTCAAGTAGGATAGGCAAGAACAGATATAAGATACTACTTTTTGTTCAGGTTTACTAAAAAAAAAATACTGTAATAGAGATCATATAAAAACATGTTTCCTGTCTATTTGTCTTAACCTTTTAATCTTGGCACCTTAAATTTGACTTGGTAGGAATTAGAAGACAATTGCAGAAAATGTCAACTGGGGAAATTTTATTCTACTAAAAACTATATCCATACAACATAGCAAATCACATTTTAAAGGCCAAAAAGTCTTTCACAGCAATTTTTCTGATTATTTTCAAAACATATCTTTTCTCTGCTCCTGCAGCATGCTGTTGATTTTTCTGTTATGCAGTCACGTAAGTAATTACATGTTCACGTGTCTGCTTCACTCATAGAACATGAAACACTTAAATGTAGAATAATATCTAATCCATCTTTGTATCACCAGTAGCTAGCATACTGTAGGAACTCAATAAATATATCAGATAAATTGTGGAAATAACCATATCAGCTTATAACACATAGAAATGTGAGTTTTAAAAGAAAATAATTATACATATCAAAAAAATTTTATACCATTTTTTAAAGACCTTTAAGATGTCATATAGTTTGGACTTTTCCAGTGTTTCTTGTATCATAAGACAATAGTAGATATTCTAAGTCAAAAATCAGTTTTCTGGGGTTATATACATTTGAAAAAACTGAGTATCATATCTGTTCTTAGAGAGTAATGCTGGATATTAACATATCAAAAGTACAGAGAAGTCTTGAGGTTCAAAATAAAATCTACTTAATTTTATTGAATTCAGTGTTCCATGAGCTTTTTCACTGATTCCTTCACTTTTTTCTCTTATAATAGTTAACTTGTTCCTGTAGCATTTTATGAAATGTTGATTTAGTTGAATGCCTTCACTTGACCAATATAATAATAGAAACTCAGAAATATTTATTTACCCAGGAGCATGCAGCTAATAGCACAAGGATTCAGGTCTTTTACTTCCTATTTTGTGGTTCCCAACTACTTTTGTCAAAGGTCTTTTAAATAATATGAAACGTATTAGTGATTGATTCATTATAGTTAATGCGTAAATGATAAAGCTTGCAACAATTCACTGGCAAGAAAGCTTAAAAGCCAAAAGAAAAAAAAAATCCGCAGCATTTTTTTTCTCATTCTTTCTAAAAGCTGTGTAAGTGCAAAAGCACAGAGCCATAGCACAATGGCAGCCAGCCAGCTAGCTAGGATAGCAATGGACTTGAATTGTTTGTATTGTTGTAGTGAAGGCTGTAGCTTCCCCTTTGATCAACTTCTGGTTAAAATGTGATGGACAATAGAGAACTGAATTCCTCTTACCAGCACATTAAAAAGGCCCCAAAGGAAAAAGGAGGACTTTCAGCAGCCATCTGTAGTGTATTTTAAATATTTTATTGCTTAAAGATATTGCAGTTCATTTACTTTCCATAGCAATCCAACACCAACCCCATTTCTGTATTTACTTGACAAAAAAAAAATTACAGAATGGATATAATCCTTGTAGATATGTTGGAGACTCTCCAGCAACTTCACAGATACATTTATAGCAGGCAGTTAAATATGTAGGTTTTGTACATTGTGTTGGGCTACGTTTAAAAGGTACATTTTGGGGGACTGCAGGATGTTTGTGGTTTTGAACTTTATTAACTCCTATTATTGTTCTTACTCTAGCTTCTATGCTAACAGTCACAAATATTTGATAAACAAATATATGATTACTTCCTAAGTGCCTGTTATCATAATAGCACCTTGGGAAAAAATAAAACAAAACAATATGGGTGAAAATTCCTCAGTTTAATGGTAAGAGAGAGTAATGTAAACAAAGGCCACTCATAATAGATGTCTATACAATGTGCCTTAGAAGCACCAAAGAGAAACAGTTACTCCTTCCTGGGAGTATAAAGGAAAGACTTCAAAACGCAGTAGCATTTAAGCAGGGTCTTAAAGAAAGCATACAACTTTTTGACATCCAGCCTGGGAGGAATCAGAAGGAATGTGGGGAGTGAGAACATAAAGGCATAGAAAAGTTTGGTGTGAGGAACCAATAATGGGATTCTGAAGCGCACTGGGAATGTGGTCAAGAAGACAAGGAACAAAGGACGCGGGGGCCGTACTAGGGTGTTTGGACCTATAGGTGATAAGGAGCTATTTTACTAAGTTTAATTAGTTTTATTTCACTTCAAGGCAAGAGCACATGCTATGATCATTGTATTTTAAAAGGAACTCTCACAGCAATGTAAGAATATTGAAGAGGGATGAGATAAAGACAGGTAGAGTGCTTAGATAGTAACTAAAATAAATTAGATGAGCACCTAACTAAAGAATGGCAGTGGGAAAGGGGACTGGGGACACCATCTATTTCTAGAGAAACTTGGGTTTTGTCTGT